GCACTTCGGGCCCAGATGCTCCGTGTTGAGCCAGCTAGCCGACTTTGGGCTCCAGATGTGGGCCTGGAGTGGGGGTGGGACCCAGCTCCAGATGTGTGCGGTCTGAGCTAGAGTGGCTGTAGGGCTCCGCTTCAGCACTTGGCCCAGGGAGCTGGGGCTTAAGGAGATGGGGCTTTGGGGGCCGGGCCAAGGGGCCTCTCCTATCACTCCCGTCCTAGCAGCCCAGCCCTCAGCCCAGGGTCCCAGAGGCCCAGAAGGACTCAAAGCTTGCAAAAAACACCCAACACAGAAACTGTAGAGGTCAAGGCTCATGTTTCAGTGCACAGCAGGAAGAAAGCCCAGGCACCTGCCCGGGGTCACATAGACAAGGCCAGGCAGGACCCAGGGAGAGCAGAGGGTATCTCCACAGGTATCTCCAGGGGATGGGTGCTCATTGCCTACCTCTCCCCAGCCTCAGACACTCTCAGCCCATATCATTAGGCAACTCTGGTAACCTTGACCGAGGAGTGGGAGGAAGGGCTGCTGTGACCGTCAAGATCCCCAGGTTGGGGAGACACCGTTCAGCCCTAGAAGACTCTTGAAAGAGGCAGGCTTAGAGCCTAGGAGCCCCACCACTCAACTCCCCCTACTCCAGATGTTGCTATTGCACCTGGGAAGTGGGAGGCAGGAGTCCAGCTGGACAGAGGACGGGGCCAACCTCCCAGAGAGTAAGTCCCCAAGCTGATGTAGTAAAGCGGGATGCCCATTCACTGACACTCCCCCCAGTGTGCTGGCCTCCTGCGAGTCCCTTATCACCTTGGTGCCCCACAGGTCCTGGGGGCAACTTCTCATAGATGGCAGTTTCCAAGAAGCCAGCTCTGTCTAGAGCCACACAGCCAGGCCAGCCAAGGCTGGAGGGACAGCAGGTCCCTGCCTCTGACCCAGACGTGGTCTCTGGCTGGGGGCTCTGCAGGCTGGTGTTTGAACTGTTATTGGGGGAGAGCCTTTGTTAGGGAGCTCAGAGGAGCTTCCCTCCCCTCCCCACAGAGAATATCTGCCCCAGACAGGGGAGGGCCACCCAGGGAGCCCAGAAACCTCTACAGCAAGCCCGCCCACCACCCAGACGTCTCCAGCCTAGGAAACCAGCCAAAAGTCTCCCAGAAGCCCCTTTCTCAATGTGAGGTGCTGCAGGAGGTCAGGTCCCCCAGACCCAAGCAGCTGACTGAGAGTCAGGACTCGGGATGCCCCACGCCCTCTAAACTTCATCCCCATGCCCATGCAGTGGCCCAGGAGGGCGTGTGGCCCTAGCAGGCAGAGGTCAGAGGTCAGGCCGCCTGACCATGGGCAACTGCCAGAAGGCCTAGCTTAGAGGAGGCCTTTGGGTGTGTAACAGCCCCTGAGCCCAGTTGAGGGGAGGGGTGAACAGCACAGACACCCCTGGGGTGCTGGGCATCCCGCAAACTCCTGCCAAGCCTGTTCTGGCATCGCAGCCCAGGAGACAGACAGCAGGTCCCACACTGTCTGGCCTGGGTGGGGAGGCTGGCTAGGGGAGCGGGCTGAGGCGAGAAGCACTAATAGGTTATGTCAGGCGAGTGCTCTGCGGAGGGGCCACGCCTCTCGGCTCTGGCAGCCCCACCTGAGGCCCTCGCCCAAGGCTGGGGCCTGGAGAGAGATACTGGCTGGGTTCAGAATGTGGTGTGAGGGCGGGGAGGGGCTGCTGGGCCAGAGCATGGAAGCCTCCTTCAGCCATCGTGGCCGAGAAGGCAGGACACGGATGAGTCCCGCTACCCTCGCCCCACTGGGTCTCTGTTGGCTAGCAAATATAGACCGCCAAACGGGGGTCCCTTGGGGTGCAGCTACAGGGTCTACCCAGGCGCACACTGGCTCAGTCGAGGGGAGAGCAGAGCCCCAAGGGACACCCTCAACCTCTCCTCCTCCTCTGCCCGACCCGTCCCCAAACTCCAGGATCCCATTCCCAAGCCAGGGAACCCTAATTTCTCACCCTGCACCTGGGGTCTTCCCCATTCTCCGAGAGAGACTCGCTGTGACAGCCCCTCCCCACGTCTGTCCTGGGGTTGGCATGCAGTCTGGAGCTGGGGGGCAGGGAGAGACCTGAAAATGAGCCCCCATCTTAAGGGTGAAGCAAGGGCACAGTGAGGTAGAGGTGGGCTCCAGGCAGGGGTCAGTGAAAGGCCAGGGACTCGGCTGGGACTGAGGAGGGGGCCCCTCGCAATTGTGGTGGGGCGGCCAGGGCCCTGTGTGTCTTGGCCGAGCGGGACCCCTGGGCCGCCAGGTATGTAACAATTCCAGCCATTTCCTGCCCTATTAATGAGAAAGGGGCTGATATAAATACACGCTCAGCATAAATAAATACAGGCCAGGCCCGGGACTGCATAGCAGACAGATTGCGTGGAGCTGCTGGCCAGCCCTCCAGCCAGCTCCCCCCACCCTGCCCGCGGGCCCCCCCCACCGCCCCCCACTTGTTTTCCTCCAGCAATCCAGGGCCCCTCCACACTCGCAGTCCTGAGACAGACTGATTGACCACCCTTGCCCTCAGCCTCAGGACAGGGTCCCCATAGCCCCGAGAAGGGTCAGGCCTGGGAGAGAGAACTGAGTTCCCTGCACCAGGCCATGACACCCCAGGGCGCCTGGTTGTTGGTGTGCTGTTCACAGGGACTCGGAAGTTCACAGGATTGAAGAACTTGCCCAAGGTCATACGGCCAGGAAGTTGTGGGGCCAGGGGTTGAACCCAAGGCTTTCTGACCCCCACAGTTCCTGGTCTGCTGAGTGGGGGGCATCTAAGGACAGTTCTCACCCTCCTGTCTCCCTCCAAGTCCCAGGCCCAGGACGCCAGACCCTTGGAGAATTCCGTTCAAGGCCTGGAGACTTAAAGTGCAGGAAGCTGGGTCTTGGTAAAGACCCTGCCTGCTCCTCCCAGCATGGGCATTCAGGATGTGGGGCGCCTCGAAGGCTGACTGTCTCACCAGAATCACCTAATCATCCCACGCAGCACAGACACGGAAACTGAGGCCCAGAGGGGACAGAGCCGCATCCAGAATCAGAGAGAGAGACGGGTCAGTCATAGAGGCGGCGAGTCTGCCCCAGTCCTGGCCTCCTCCGGTCTTGAGCTCATGGTGGGAGACCCTCCTCTCACACGCTTCCCCTGCTCAGTCCCGCCTCACCTCCCCAGCCTGGACACCTCCAGGGTGCACTCAGGTGCCCCCAAATCCAGCCTGTGCCCTTCCAGGGTGCAAATCAGCAACCGCAGCAAGGGAAAGCAGGTCCAGGGAAGGAAGAAGCCCAACAAGGGCAGGTCTGGAGTGAGCCGCCAGCAAACTCCCCCTGTCCCTGCACTGCTGTTATGTATTCCTCTCTTTCAGGCCCAGGTCAAAAGCCCCTTCCTACAGGAAGCCTTCCCAGCTACCCCAGCCCAAAGGAACAATTCCTGGTCTGTTTCAAGCCCTCCCCTGCCTCCACGCCTTTGAGGACTCCTCTCAGCTGGATGTCTTGAGAGTGGGCACTTAGCCCAAGACATAACCACAAGGAGTGAGCCTTACGAAGTTCCTTGAGTAGGAAGTAAGGGTTAGGCCTTGACAAAACTACAGTCTCCCTACCCCCAGCACTCAGCAATTTGGGAACCAACTGTCTGGGTAATGTCAGAGCAGCAGGGTCCTGGGCTCAGCTGCATCCTGCACCCACCCATTGCCCAGGTCAAGGGCCCCAGCTCCCCCTAAGTCGGGACCAGTGAGCTCTCTGCCCCAACACTGTCTCTGGTGCCTTCTTACTGGGCTCACCCAGTCAGGTAAGGTCTCAACTCCACATCCCAGGGATGGAGCAGGAGAGGTGGAGCAGCACGTGGAGGGTCAGAGAGGAGCAAAGTGGACAGAGCACTTTGAACCTCTTCCTATATGCACCCCACCCTTGGACTAGGGAGGGTGATGCTGTGAGGGGATGAGCCTGTCAGAGAATCACTCACCAAAGGGCAGTGTCTGGGTCTGACCCACTGCAACCTCAGCGTACATGGCCACATGAGCTACCCCTCAGCAGTCCTGCTGGGGACTGAGGAGATGGAAGAAAGGAAGGAGGGATGGGTGGATGGGTAGGTGGGTGGATGGATGGATGGGTGGGTGGGTGGATAGATGGATGGATGGGTGGGTGGATGGGTGGGAGGGTGCGTGGTTTGGGTGGGTGGATGGATGGGTTGGATGGATGGATGGATGGATGGATGGGTGGATGGATGGAGGATGGGTGGATGGATGGAGGATGGGTGGTTGGGTGGAGGATGGGTGGGTGGGTGAAGGATGCGTGGGTGGGTGGGTGGGTTTGTGGATGGATTGTGCATGAGTGGGTAGATACTGATAGATGGATAGATGAATAGATGCATAAGCTGAAGGGAGGGGGGGGTGGATGAGTGTGTGAATGGGTGGTAGGTGAGTCGATGTACGGGGAGGGGAAAAGTGAATAGCTCAGTGTGAGAATGAACAGGGCAAGCTCCTTGCAGACTGACTCAGAAGTAACTACTCAAAGGAATTTTCTAAATCTCTGAAATGTGAGGCCCTGGCACCCCCCAGAGGCCAGAGTCTCTAACTGACTTAAAGTCCTGGGCACCAACAAATCTGACAGCCAGGGTCATGGACTTAGAGGCTGTAGTCATCTTACAAAAAATTAGGGTCCAGTGCTGGTTCTTCCCCTGACTTATTCCATGACCTTAGCACTATTCAGCCTCCCAAGGCTGCTCAATTTTCTCATCTGTGTTAATGAAACCTGATGCCTGTGTTGCTATGAGATTAAAGAAAATTACAGGTTTAGTATCTGAGATGGTTGCTATCTGGCCCCTGTCAGGTGCTCATAGAGCGTGATTTGTTCCCAGAAGCAGCCATAGGGCACAGACGCCCTCACCCAGGTGGACACATGAACCCAGGCACGTCACACATGCACGCACACAGACCGGGTCTCCAGCCCAGCAGGGAAGAGGGACGGAGAATGAGACCCCAGCTCTGGAGAGGCGGAGGGAGACATACTTATTCTCCAAGGGCCCCATGCTGTGTTTGGGCCGGCTGAGCCTCAGGGGCCAAGGGCTCGGGGAGTGGGGACAACGGTCCTGAGGCGTCCTGGGGCTCAGCCTCCTGATCCTGGGCCAGCTGGGCCGTGTGCTCAAAGGCAGTCTGCAGAAGGTGAGAAGCAAGGCAGGTGGCCCAGGTGACAACATAGGCCAGGTGCCAGGAGGTAAGCACAGTGGCGCTCTGCACCCACCAGTAGAGGCGCTTCAGCAGTTCCAGCAGCTCCAGCACCACGCGGTTCTCCAGCAGGACCTGGCGAGGGCCACAGACAGGCAGAGGCTGCACTGCGGGGACCAGATGCCCCTGCCTTCCCTGGCCAAGCCCATGTCCCAGGCCTGCCCTCTCCTGGCCAGCCCGGGCCCACCCACCTTGCAGGGCGGCCAGCCCTGGCCACAGCGGTGGGCTTTCCGGCACAGCCTCCAGGCCAGCAGCAGCAGCAGCAAGGCCGCCAGCATCAGGCTGTGCAGACATGACAGAAGCAGGTCTGTCCACGTGGCCTCGGACAGGCCCCGCCACCCCGAGACGCCAGGCCGCTGTGGGGCCAGGCTCAGGGCCCTGGCACAGCCCAGCACAGCTGCCCACACCAGCCTGGGCCCCTGCAGCAGCAGCCACAAAGGAACCTCAATCAGTGTCAGCCCGGCCCGGAGAGCCCGGACCACAGCGCAGGCTGAGAGCCCAGGGTGGGGGTGGGCCTGGCGGCCACAGGGCCCCTGGGCCTCCCAGGTCAGCCCCGACAGCCAGTGGTTGAAGAGGATGATCTTCAGGAGCAGGAAATTGTAGAGATGGACCCGGTTCTGGACCAGCTGCAGGAAGAGGGAGAGACCATCGTCACCATCATCACCCCAGGACAGGCCTTCCTGTGTGAGGGCTCCTCTTCTCCAGGTCCGCTTCCCCCACGTGGGACCCTTCTCGGCCCCTATTCTCAGGACTCCATTCCTAAGGAGAGGGCGCTTCAGAAGGCATTTCGCAGTACATTTGGGTTTCTGTCCTTTGGTTTTAAATGATGCTTAGACCCTCCCTGGTGGCACAACAGGTTAAAACACAGCACTGCAAGCGATCCGCAGCCCCAGAGGTGACCCACATGGGTCAGACCTCTCCTGCCCGCCCGCTGCTCCCCTCAGCAGTGTACTTTGTCGATCCACCTGTTCTGCTCCCCACTCTGTCTCTGGTGAAGCCTCTCACGGCCCCTGCACCTCTGGTACCCAGTTCTGATGCATAAATAAATAAGTCTTAAAAATAAATAAATTTTAAAAATAAATAAATAATAATAAATGATGCTTAACGGTACTCCAGTCTGGAGGAGGCGTTTCCCACACGTCCCTCCTGTCTGGGTCCTCGCTCTCATTTTTCAGAGCGTGGTCCCTGCCCCACTGCCCCCGACCCTCCTCACCAGCACTGAGAGTTTTGCTACCAGGAGCAGAAACCCCAGGAGGCCAGATCTGACCGGAGAGATGGCCTCCATGTCTGGTCCTGCCTCCCCTCCCCCAGCTGGGAGGGGCAGGTGACCTCACAGATACCATAGGGTGGGGGCTAAGTTACCATGGGGACCTAGTTGCCATACCTGCCTGCTGCCCCTTCCCTGCACAAAAACTGGGGTGTCTTCCATGTCCCTTCCTGGTTGGAGACTGCCCCTAGGGACATCACGTCCACCAGCTGCCACCTGCTCGGCACAAGCACCCCAGGGAGCCCGAGGGGCCAGCAGCTAGCTGGGGGTCTGGAAGGTGTAGGGGTGAGACAAGGTGTTCGGGCCATCCCATCCCACACCCTGTTCACTCCCAAATTCGCAAAGGTTACGACGAGTAGAAATCTTTGCCCCTAACCCACAGGGGACACCATGTCCGAGGCTGGCAGGAGCCTCTGAGAATCCAGCCAGGTCCCTTCCCCACTGGTTCTTGCATTTTGTTGAAAGTTGTTCCCAGTCACAAAGCAGAGGGACACAGTGTGACCTCAGCCTCACATCGCAGTGACTTCCCAGTGGGTCCTGAACGAGGTCAGAGGGCAGGGAGAGGAGGCCTCTAGCATCTGGGAGGAGGGCAATTTGCTGAGCTACCCCTCTCAGGGCCTGGAGAGGCCACCGGCTGCCCACAGCACCGTGGAGAGGTGGCCAGAGCCGCGTGTCGGAGTCAAAGGCTGAGATGCCAGAGTTCAGAATCTGGGTCACAGCATTTCCCACATGGCTCTCCTGTCTGGGTCCTCACAGAGGGCTCAGGAGGCGCTCACACCTTTCAGAAATGGATAAGGCACACCCTCCGGTGGACAGGTCGCTGCCAGAGCAGGGTTCTGCAAAGAGGGCCCCTCTGGGCAGACTGGAAAGGAGGGTGTCACCCATGCACTTGCAGACAGCAGGATTTTGGGCCTCACCCAATCCCTCAACCAGGCAGCCTTGTCCAGGATACAACCTGCCCAACTGTACGTGGCAGTCTGCCATGTCCCCAGAGTGCCAAACATGACCTTTGCCCAGGACAGTTCTTCCCTCCAGCCCCCACAAAAGCTAGGGTTTGGAGGGTGCAGCATGTAAAGTCCCTTCACTCTGTCCTCTGCCCTTGCCATTCCCAGCCCACCCTCTATGTCTCCAACACTATATAGCACAGGGGGTCACTAGGTGCAGAAGACCTCCTTGAGGTAAGTTAGGAAAAACAGGAATCTTCCAGAAAAGAAAGTGAAATGGTGGGTGAAACCAGGCAAAGGAACAGCATGATTTGAACAATTTAGTATTGCTGGAACATAAAAAGGGGCGTGCAGAAGAGCACAAGGTGGGTGATAAGGTCAGCAAGGGAAATGGGGTCATGGAATATTTCACAAAACCACAGGAGCTGGCCCTGTGGTGCAGGGGTAAAGCACAGCACTATGAAGCTATCCACAGACACTGCAGCACGAGTTCAATCCCTGGCCAGGGAGATGACCCACATGGCGCAGCAGACCTCTCCTGGCCCGCCCACTGCTCCCCTCAGCAGTGTATTTCAGTAGATCCACCTGTTCTGTTCTCCACACTGTCTCTGGTGAATCCTCTCACACATCGTACCTCTGGCCTACAGTCCAGCTCTTGTGTGCATAAATAATTAAATAAAAAGAAATCTTAAAAAAAAAAAAACCCACACAGGAGCCATTGGAGATCCGAAGCAGCAAGGCCACTGGAGATCACGGTGGGTTTTATAATTGTCCCGACAGCTGCATGAGGAAGCCAGATCACGGGGCATAAGGGATCTGGAGGGATCAGCTGGGAGCCTACAATGAGTCCTCCAGGCACAAGAGATGGGGTCCTGGGCTCGGGACTGTGGTGCTAGGAGTGACGAGAAGGGGACAAATGCTAGAATGTGCAGAACGTGGAGCTGGCAAGACTATGGAGGCCCCTGGCTGCCCTGGCTGCACAGCAGCTAGCCAGCCGGTCAGAGTTGTGGGAAGCCACGAGACTCCTGGATCAGAGATGTGGATACGTTACTACACCCTCCACCAGCAGAAAGCCAGAGCAGAAATAGCTTGTCTGGGTTCCCTGAGTCCCAATTCCTAGCAGGTGAGATAAACAAGGCCAGAGGGTTGCAGAAGAGAAATGCTGAGCTTCGCGGACCCCAATCTTTTACAACAGGCAGTAAACCCATCTGCCCTTGCTGTTGAGAGCATCATCATCACATTGGACTATGCCTACACTTGACAACAGAAGGGGACACTGTCCGATCTGGGGGGAGCCTAGGAGATCGTCCAGCATGAAGAGCAGTCAGTTACAGTGCAGAGACACAAGGGGCCCGTGGAGAATTTTCTCCCAACAGAGAAAGAAACTAAGGCAAGGCAGGGGTCAGGGACTCCCACAAAAGACCAGGGTAGAAGTGGGGAGGCTGAGCCGGTGGGGAAGGGAGTCAGCTGGTGGGGGCTAAAACGAGGATTTGCAATTAGTTTTCCCTCCTCTCTCTTCTCCCTTCTTTAATTGTCCCCCACCATCTCTTGACATCACTGAACCCAGAATCCCACTGTCACTGAATCTGAGTTGATAATCCCCCACCTCCTGCTGACCAAACTCCCTGGACCCTGTAGGGTAGGCAGGAGCTGGAGAGTCACAGAGACCTCGCTGTCCCACTGCCCAGCCCAGGGCTCCTTTTAAACCCCACTAGGATGCCACACCCGTGTCCTCTCAGCTGGGATCAGCTGTCCCCACCCCACCAGTACCCTCATCTTGATCCCCAAGCTCTTTTTCAGCAAGTCTCTGGCTCTGTGGGTGCCCAGGCCACAGGGACCCAAGGGCTGTGAGTCTAGTGACAGACTGGAGGTCTTCCCTGAAGAGTGACATCAACCCAAGACCTCCCCCTAACTAGCAGCCCCAGCCTCGCAGTCCCAGGGGCCAGAAACTTGATACACCCCTTCACCTTCTTCCTTCCTTCACATGAAGCCACTTCTGAAGACCAGGACCATGAAACTTGTTCATTAAGGTGTCCCACGCCTAAAACAGTGCTGAGTGCATAGTGGGAGCTCCATAAATATGTATTCAATTATTAAGTGAATAGAGGACCCCTACCTATGCGGCTCGGCAGGAGGGTAGCAGGAACCGCTGCGGGAAGCCCTCCACCCCTTCCCTTTGCTACTCAACACCCAGGTTCAAGGCATAGAGGTGCTACTTAACTGAGTAGACCTTGGGCGATAGCTTCCCACCTTGCTGCCCTCCTGCTCTTACGGAACCAGTTGGGACAACCCAATTATGAGTGATCTCTGCGCTTCCCAACGCCAGAGGGCGCCATTCCCCGTTCCTTCTCTGCAGTGAGTCGCGTCTCCATTTCCGCCCTTCCCCCCCAC